ATGATGAGATACGTTGATACAACAACACAACGAAGCAATCACTAAAGCTATCTCATTCACAGTTAGCCCAAAAAGCTTGATAAAGAGAGATTTCTAAACTCCTTATCCAGAAGCAAACTTCTCCTCCTTCCAAAAAGCTATAGTGTAAACACTTGAAGGTTTCCTTGCCTCAAGCACCACATCACGTTGAAGGATATTACTTTTGATCAAACTTATTGATTAAAAGAGGGTAGGTCAACTCTCTTGCAAGTTGATCTTGCAAGTCCTATTGTTCGGATCTTGCAGTTGTTGAAGAAGCTTGACCTTCGAAGGAACAACAAAGCCAGCACGAGTGCAGTAGCAACATTGGTCTTGTGAAGATATACCGTGCAGAAATTCACACAAGTGTAACTGTTGGTTCATTATTCAACAACCAACTACATAGTGGATTTTGAGGACGTAGAAGGATTACCCCACCTTCGAACCTCGTTAAAGTTTGCGTGTCTCTCTCTCTTATCTTTATTCTTACTTGCAATTATATTAACTGTGAAAACTAACCTATCCATATTAATTACTGCTCACTCCACCCACCAAATTCCGCACACAATCTAAAGTTCACAAGGACTTTAGATTAACACTCATTTTCTGGTTTTCAAAAGAAACGAAAAAGATTTAAACTTGTAACAAAGTCTATTCACCCCCCCCCCCCTCTCTAGACTTTGTATTTCACCACTTTGGGACCACCAAATACAAAGATCTAGTCATCTTTATATAGGAAGAGGGTAAAATAAATAAGTAATTTCTATTCCTACCATAATTCTATTTCTAGTATAACAAGAATAGAAAAACTAGAAAAGTCACCAAAACGAATGCCAAAGAGATTCAGTTTCCTTTTCTATGTCTATCTCTCGTAACACCCCCCCTTCCTCAAACTGGAGTGCGGGGATTACGAGCGCCCAGCTTGGAAAACACATAATCAAACAACTTTTCGTTCAAGTGCCATTTGAACATTTCAATAAATATTTTTTTTCTTTTTCTTCGATGGAGACGCCACTCTTTTTAAATCCGCCGAATATAATAATCAATCGAGTAAAACAACGTCATTCTTTTCGAACCTTCACCGAGTTCAAATAAATAGGACGAACGTCATATTTTTGAACATCCTGAAGGCTATTTAAAAAAATGGCTAGCATATTACGAAGTTGTCCGCTTCGTGTAGGACAACCCTTTTCGGGTGATTTCTTCTTGATTTGTGACTATGATTCCTTAGCGGTCATGTTCTTTGCCAAGGAAGAACAACCATTTACTATACTGACTTTATGGATAGCGTGCACTAACGACTGTCTCTAGCGTACTTTCAGAGGTTGCCATGACAGTCGAGGCTGACGTAGATGACGATATGCCGGTCCAACGCACCAAATAGACATGGCTAGCAATTATTCGGGGAGAAAAATAAAAAAACACAATATCCTGCCGGTCGGCATTGAAGTGTGGATGCCCACCGGCATGAGAGTGGAATCGTGTCTGAGGTCTCAGAAATTGAAAACTCACTCTGATACCATGTAAAAAATTTAATAATAGAGAAAATATTTTGTATTGAATTTAAAAATCGTCCTAAATAGGACTAAAACATGGAGAAAAGTACCAAAATAGGACTTTCATATTTTTATTCCTGGAATAGGACTTCGTATTGTGGTAGTGTGACAATATATATGTGCACATTAGTATACTTTTTGGTAATGTATATGATCATGTTTCATAAAGTAAATACATTTTAACTCCTATTCCGGGAATAAAAACATGGAAGTCTTATTTTGGTATATTTTTAATATTTTACTTCTACTTTTGTCTTTTTCCCTATTGAACTGTCTTAGACATTACAAAAGGTTCAACTTCAACCTTCTTTGTATATAAAGAAGGTAAAGCAAATAAGTAAATTTCTATTCCTACCATAATTGTATTCGAAAGAAAGAATTAGGAAAATCACCAAGTAGAACCCAAATGAAATCGGTTTCCTTTTCGATGGTCACACTTTTTTACTCCCTCCGTCTTAAAACTTTCTTCCCGTTGCGCAAAACGAATAAAAATCTCAAGTTTTTTAAATCTATTTTATTTAAATATTGGTATAGAAATAAAAAATAAAATATACATATTTAAAAACTACATCAAAAGTTCAACAAAATAAGTGGTGACAAGAATATTTTATTTTATCATATAGGGCATGAAAAAACACAAATAAATATAAATTTTCGTGAAGTTAGAATAATGCTCTGGGAAAAAAGTTTTAGGACGGAGAGAGTATATAATTATAACTTTGAAGTACACTAAGTGTAACATGGTTTATTAGTAAGTCTAAATGCGGTCTCTATGATGTACTAAATCGTTTTAAAATACAACATGAGTATCCATTCATTTATTTTAAGATTAGACGGCACCCATGTAACAAAATTAAAACCAACCATGTGGGGGGGGGGGGGGGGGGG